GCTCCACTTGCTGTTTTCTTTGATTCTTGGGGGTGGACAAAGCTCAAACATTTTCAGCCATTATATCAGTTATCGGCGGCCGCCATCCCCTCCCAATATCGGTATCGGCGATAGACAAAATTTCCATATGCTGCTCTAGTGTTATGGAAACTAGCTGACATATAAACGATGGCTAAAATAAAGCAAATAAAATGACAAAAGATGGAGAACTCCAGGAATTAAATGGATACAATTTGAATTGAGCTGGTTTGGGTGTGGTTAAACCTCCGGTAAAACCTTCCTTAACCATTTAAGATGAACTTTTACTGCAGACACGAAGGATGTTCCTAATCCGTGCGGACACCAGCAGCTCCGTCCTGCCTCTTCACAATCTATTTGTCACCAATTTCATTTTTCCAAAAGACCTTATTAACTCTGTGTCTTGAAGAGGACTGAGTGACTGTGCAGGGTGACGAGAACAAACACTTGAAAACAAAGTCTTTCAGGTGGAGCAAACACGCTTTCAGCCATCAGCTCTGGTGGAAGACGAGGTTTGGTCCTCCAGAGGGACAAGCTGTTCAAGTGTTTTGTTTTTTTCTGACGAGTGGAAGAAAAGATAACGGAAGAACCCCCTTTGATTCAGCCGGAGCAGTCGAGGAAAAGAATCAGAGCTGGTTGACTAATCTGTCTGCTTAATCTGAAATGTTTTTCTCACCTGATTAGCTCCTGTGATTGTTGTTTTCTCTGCCAGTGAGGGAAGGGACTTAATAACAGGAAGTACCTGAGCCTGCGTTTTGTTTGATTAAAGACAGCCGTGATTAGACGGAGGAAGTCAACCAGCAGGCCTGCTGTAGGAAGACACACGGAGAAACCAACACGTTTACAAACAAAACATGCCGCAAACTGGAAATAAACGTTAGGGAATGTATAAAAGTTCATATGTCATCCATCCATTTATTTTATGATTCCTGATTGACAGGATGGAAGGGACAGCGATCTGATCACAGACCGACGCATTCCTCAGGTTTAATGGTCAGATTCTGTTCATCAGCTGCAAATATTCATTTTTAGGTCTCATTTATTTCCCACGTCCTCACGTCCTTCATCACAGCATCCTTACTGACCTTGGAAAGAACAAGTCGGCTACAGTTCGGGCTGTTTTTTTGTTTTTTTTTTTCAATCCAATTCAGACTTTTTAAATACAGGTTAGTCTCATTGAGCCGTGAGGACTCATTTACAAGAGAGACCTGTTTTAAACAAAGAACACAGATGACAACAGTAGACAATCATAAAAAAAAGCATATGAAATGAAAAGTAAATGGAAGAAATTATATTAAAAATATAAAAATAAAAAAAAACAGCTAGGCGGTGTAGAAAACTAAAAAACAGGAACATGTCTGCACTGGTTTTTGCCATGAACTTAGCCGATTTTTAAGTCCATTAGAGAGGTCAAGGCCAAGAGCTTCAGATCATTTTGCAAGATATTCCAGGAAACAAGAGCGGAGGAGGAGAAGGCCCTTTTGTCTAGTTCAGTCCTCACTGAGGGGACACTGCAGGTAATAATGTCCTGAGAGCGCACGCTGTAGCTGCACTCACGCAGAGACATGTAGGAGGAGATGTATGAAGGCAGCAGACCAAGAAGTGATTTAAAGATGAAAATGTACCAGTGAGAGAGTCTGTGTGAAGTTAATGATGACCAGTTAACCAGTGAATACTGGGTGCAGTGGTTAGAGCCAGTTAAGAATCTTAGTGCACCATGATAGACAGCATCCAACATCTGCAGTGCGCTTGTAGGAGCGTTCATGTAAATAATGTCACCGTAATCAATGGAGGGGAGGAAAGTGGCAGCCACAAGGCGTTTCCTAGCATTCAGAGTTAGACAGGATCGATTTCTGAACAATAAACCCAGTTTTACTTTCAGTTTCTTTACCAAGTTTTCGAAGTGGAGCTGAAAAGAGAGATGCCAATCGACCAAGATACCCAAGTATTTATAGGAATTGACAAACAATAGAAACACCATTTGAAGATAAAATAGAAGGAAGGATTGCTGGGACCAACTTCCTGTTTGAAAAACAGCATCCCTTTGGTTTTATCAGCATTTAGCACCAGCTTGAGACGTAACAAATCTGACTGGATTATGTCGAAAGTGGATTGCAAAAGCTGGAAGAACTTAGAAACTGTTCTAGCTCGACAATAAACAACTGTGTCGTCAGCATAGAAATGTAAGGCTACATCAGGGATGCTCTGGCCTACATTACCTATGTACTGTAGATTGTGAAGAGGGTGGGTCCTAAGACTGAACCTTGTGGTACACCATTATTAACAGTTAGATAGTCAGAAGAAGTACCATTTTGATGAACACACTGCCTCCGATCTGAGAGATAATTAGAGAACTAGCCAGTGGTGTGTTCTGAGAAACCAGTGTCTTGAGAGCTTATGACATAAGATGTCATGGTCCACAGTGTCAAAAGCTTAAACAACAAAAATATTTTACAAACGATGAGTTGAAATTCAGTGTAGAACAGCTAAGAATCGTTTCCAACACATACTCTGAGTATCAACAGATTGTGTGAGATCTTTGTTTAAAACTTTGGCACATGGAGTGGAGGGAGATTTAAAAAACACTGCACAGTATGCTGTCATGGTCAGATATGAGGACCGTGTGGACTGAGAGACAACGCAGGTAAATCCAAAAATGAAAGACCTTCTGAAAAGCTGTGAAACTACTAAATCAAGACCACTTCAAATAATTACAATAAAGTGTGGCAGTTTAAAAGAAAAACATGAAAAAACGGAACATTTCTGCAGTTACAGCCTGAAATCCCAGCTTTGTTCTGCAAAGCCCAATTAGTAATTTAGCTCGTTATTTTGTAATTTTCTAAACTACAACAGAGCCGGGTTTATTGTGGAGCTTAGCTTTATTTTGAAATTGAAGCTCAAAAGCTTTCCCTTTAAACTGCTAACCATGAGAAAACTGTTCATGGATGAAAGAATATAAAAATGTTTGGGGTTTTATTTTTAAACTAATATTAAATGTAAAATGTGTAGAAATATAAGTTTTTATAGACTTTTAGTCCTACTGTTCTCACTCCACCAGTTGAGCATCACTGGTTCATGTGCCACGCCCAGTTTTCATCGTGGGTTCCTTCGTGCTATCCGTACTTGTTAGTTGCCACGGCAACCTTAGTTTTGTAAAATAAAGTTTTATCTGTTTGTTCAAGCGTCTCATGCCAGTCTGCATCCTTGGGTCCAGCCTGGTCCAGCCGTGACGTGTCCACGTCGTACTGCTACCAAACGTCACAGCGTTTCTCCTGGTAGTATTTTAAGTTATAATAAAAGTAACCTGTGAATAGTAAGACAGGAGCTTCAAAGCTT